AATATTTTATTATATCGAACAAGTTTTAGTGATGTGTGAACAAAAATCATTTGCTCTGCTTCTAATTTTTTTATTATCTGCGTTAACTCAAACAAGAAAAAAATCATATAGCTTCCTACCATATGTTTCAGGTTCATGTCCACTTGCTAATAATGAATCACAATGTTTTATTATATCTTCTACTTTAATAACTTGTTTTCAATGAAGTTTATCATGTGATAATACATCATAACCTGTTGTAGTTTCTTCAATCATTTCAAGTTGATTGATTATATGAGTAAGAAAATGCTATTTAAAAATAAACGAAACGACTAGAGATACAAAGAACTTCATCAGCATCTAATCAACTATAATTAACACGAATTGTATGAATATAAGTTAAAGAATTATTTAATGATACTTTTGAAGAAATATTTGAAGATTTTGTTACAGCAGACGATGATGAAACGATTACTGGTTAATAAAGATTTAATAAAAACTAAATAAAAAGAATATTTTTAAATGAATGTTGTGGTAACAGAAAAATTGGTTTTCAAACTTTTTTGTTGTTTCTATCCTAAGATACAATTTTGGTAATAGTGTCTTACAGATCACTCACGTGAACTAGGTGATTTAATATTCGGATTTCAAGATAGAACCAAATCAAAAAATCTGACACTTTCGCAATAAACTACTCTCATTAAGATCATCGATATTCGCAAAATCAGTTTTTCTGTTACTATGACGTTCTTCTATTGAAATTTTCCTTCTCTAGGAAAGACCCTTGCAAAAACTTTAATTATAAGATCTTCATCTAAAGTTTTATCTGTAGACAAGTTTTAGACCCCAAACAACATTCTAAAGATTTTAGCTCAACCGCTCAATAAAAAAGATTAATAATTGAAATTTTCTTTACAATAAATAACTATTTACTATTCAAAAGAGGTTATCTCTTGTGTACATTGAATGTTGATTCCAAATTTTTTGATAAATCTTATGTAGATTATTTCTAAACGTACCTAATTGTGTACGATTAACTTTTTTTTTTATCTTTGTCTGTGTTTGTTGTATTTGATGTTGTTGATAAATCTTTATCATTCTCTTTAAAAAGAAAAACAAATGAATTCGTTCAGACGAGACATGATCCAATATATTCTTCCGATCTAAAACTGTGGAACTCAAGGGGGAAACTACGAGTTTTGAGTTTGGTGATTTAAAATGAGTTTAGCTGATTTAAAACAATGTAAATCATTCTCTCTCGTAGACAAAATGTAGGATTTATTACTATTTTTTATCTTTTGTACAACAAAATAATTGAATTCTACAGAATTTGTATCTACTGTACTCAGCCTGTTTTCTATACTGGAAAGAGGTCATTGATTACCTCATTCCTGAAAAATTGAGTTCGAATAGAAAAAAAGATAGCGATATATTTGAAAATAAGTTGGCTTTATTTGTTGCNACTTTGTAGAGAAGGCCTATGGGCACTTGTCCTTTTGGGGTTTTTCATATCTCATTAGGGTCTGTCTTATGTATAGAGTCCGAACTCAAAAGCGGTTAATCACTTCGGACGGTTCCCTCGTCAGATAAGGATGTTACTAAGTCAACAGATTTTTAGCAGAGTTATGTGCTCAGTGGCAGAGCATGAACACTATCATAAAAATTTTTGTCCATTCTCAAACAAAGATTTTGGTTGAAAGTGTTGGTGGGTGAGTGAAGATTGATGAAGATACGAAGGTGAGATTATAGAGATGACTATCACCCCGACAGAAATCACATCTTCACTCTTCATCTTACTGTCACTGTTGTCCTCACTCTAATCCTAAAAAGTCAGTAGTGTTTTATTGATCATTCAAGCAATCATGAATGAAAGAAGAAATTTATATATTTGCTGTCTAAGATGGGACAGGTTTAAAAAGTTGTCAACTATGCAGCGCAAGACAGTGTGTACTAGAATGCGCAGAACAAGACAACAAACTGAAAAAATGTCCTGTGACGAGATCTATTGTTTAATCAGTCTTAATTTCAAAAGTAGTTTCGTGGAAAAATAGATTTCTTTTCTCGTCTTGCTCTTCCTTATTATCTTCTAATAAGAATATGATAAAAGGAAATTAATAAAAACTCTTCCGGACAAATTTTGCTGATTAAGCGTAAGCTCATGTGCAGTAGAGATTGATGATATAGTGTTTTTTTTTATAGTGGAGTAATCAAGGGGGAAACTACGAGTTTAAAGTTTGTGATTTAAAATGAGTTTGGGTGATTTAAAACAATGTAAATCATTCTCTCTAGTAGATGAAATGTAGGATTTATTACTATTTTTTATCTTTTGTACAACAAAATAATTGAATTCTACAGAATTTGTATCTACTGTACTCAGCCTGTTTTCTATACTGGAAAGTGGTCATTGATTATCTCATCCCTGAAAAATTGAGTTCGAATAGAAAAAAAGATAGCGATTTATTTGAAAATAAGTTGGCTGTATTTGTTGCGAATATTTAATATTATACCATGTTTATCTATAGATATCTTGTAATCTTTCTCCTTCTACATATTTTTTAACCAAATACATTCACTGGAAGTGTCTAAGTATTAGCATGGATAAATTCAAGCATAGTGAATAATGTAACAGCGCAATTCTATCTGACCAAGAAATGAAATATATGTTATAGCCAAGAGCAACACGAGCGGTTGAGAAGGGACTTCCTCCTACTTTGAGAAGTTTTGGTTACAATTTTTTTCCAATTTGGGATAATTTAACTCTTATGTTGCCCCAATTTGAAAGAAATTAATCCTAACTTTCTCCAAATTTAGCACTTTTCAGTTACAATTTTTTCCAATTTGAAGACATTATGTATTGGACTACCTTTTATTTTCATGAGACAGTCTTGATTCATTGTCTTTTTTTAGGAAAGTCATAGTAAATTCATTTTTCTATAGTTCAGAGATTTTGACTTCACAAGCCTCTTGTTTTCATATCAACGATTGGAGTTCCTCTTTCTCACAGTTGTAAAGGCTTGTGACCCTTCTAGTAAATCTCGAAAGAGTTCGATCATAATTTCCTCGAATTGGTAACTACTACAACTATCTTTTCAATAATGTAGCAAAAGAACACTCGAAGACACAGTTGACTTTGTGACTTAAACCTCGAATATCCTAAAAATTTCGAAGTAGCTTAACAGTGGACTATCGATTCTGATTATAATTAAAATTGATTAACAAATGTCATGAGCCCTTGTCGCCTTCAGTGGCAAAAAGAGATCACAAAAAAGATTTTATGAACTGAATTCGAAATAATTTCTAACAAGGAGAAACAGCGATTTATGCATTTGTCAGAGTTACGGTGAGTTTGACAAAATGAAAAGTCGTCGAACATAAGTAGAAATTATTCAAAATAACAAAGAATCGGAAATAGCAGCTTGCAGTCGTCGAAACTCATCCAAACTCAAAAAAAATCAACTGATTTATTATGACTTTTGACTGATTTAAATCAGTTGTTTCCTCCTTGGTTTCTTATCACTAGGAGGAACTGAAAACTAAGATATCAGGTTTAATATTACACACTAGTGTAGTGACTTGAAAAATTAAGCAAATCTAATTTAAATGATGAAACGTAAGTGATATTTTTAGCTTTGCAGTTTAATCCAAGAAAAGGAATCTTTTCATTGAAACAATATCTTGATTTAAATCAAAAATTAAAGAGTGGTAATGTCCCCAATGGAAATGTTAGCTTTTATCAATAAAAGGGAAAAAAGTCAAAATTGATATCCTTTCATCACAAGGCAGTCCTTTTCTTTGTTTTTTTTTTCACGCAAAATGAGTGAAAATCATGATTTCTATATNTTCGGATTTCATCGGAATCCGGTAATCGGAATGCGTCGGAAATTATGGGAATCAATTGTGATCCGATCGGATTCCGACAATCGGAATTCTATCGGATTCAGTCATCGGAATTCATCGGATTGAGACAGATCCGACAGAATCCGATGGCCCACTTTCGACCTGGGTTCCTATCAGAGTCCTCTGAATTTATCGAGAAATTTCATGAAGAATAGGTCATAATTGTATGAAATATAAATACAAGAAGCTTTATTCCCTTTCGAAAATGTGTCCAATCATTGCATGAATAAGCAGACACACATTTTACGATTTAATGACTCATCCTTTGACAACTGAGAAAAATAATACATGCGTCTGTGTCGCAAATGCAAAAACTTAACAAAAATGATTTTATTGATGGGTGAATATTACTGTAAGCTTACCGTTAGTTTGATTTCTCCAAAGATAAAACACAAATATAGCAATAGCAGTGATGAAGAGTGGTTGACCAATGGGATCACGAAGAACAAAGAGAAGTAGTTTCACATTGATCAAGAATAAGAAAAGTGAGAGTAGCATGATGAAAAAAACAGCTAAAGGATGTTGACAAATGCTTTGACCGATGTCATAGAAGTTCTTGGTAAGCTTGTTTATTGATTCGCTAAGTATCCTTGCAGCATCTTCACCAAGATGTTGCCCGAGATTGGTTGAGGTCTGACCCATCTTCGTCGAAAATTCTGAAAGTAATTTGCGACTTTCATTTCACTAAATATCCGACTGAAGTGTAATGAAAATGACTGTCAAAATCATCAAAATACTTTTCAGGAATTTTTCAAAGAACTCTGGTGAAAGTAATGTTGATTCTTCTGGTTTACTACACTACACAGATAGTTCGTTGAACGGTCATTAGAATGGCGACGGGCTGACCGGGAGTAGGAATTCCATGAAGAATATGCAACTTCTGCTCACCTGTACAATAGAAACTCCATACTCCGACAGTACATCATCGTTGAAGTGTACAATCAAAATAACAAAAATATCATAATGATCGGATGTATATCAACAAACTATCATTGAAGTGTTATTCTCGTAAAGAGAGAAATTAGGATAAGGAATGCTTTTTTTAATGTTATTGCCTCCCTCTTTATATGATTTTTGTCCATCTCTGCAACGGCATTCGTGTAAACGTCAAAAGACACCACTACTAGGATAAATACAGAAAGAAAAAACAATAGAGAATGCGACAGCGAAAGAAAACAAAATCAAAAGCTCTCTTTCATCGATGCTTTCATGTAAAAGAAAAAACAGAATTGAAAATGAAGTTTGTTAGGCATCATACACTCCACTTAATGCTATATCATTCCGTCTCTTCAACAGCATTTGTGTAGATATCAGAGAGAGCAACTACAGCATTAAAAACTAAAAGAAGCTTAACTTAAAAATAGGCAAATAGGCAATGCTCTCCATCTTTGCATGATTTCTTTCTTCTTAACCTGAATCCGTACTGTCATCATAGAGAACTAATACTGGGGTAAAACACACCATAAGAGAAAAACTAACAACTGTTTGCCATTAATATTTACCTATGGAAAGAAAGACAAATCAACAATGGCAATTGCTTTGCATCGTATCTGCCTATTTATGTAATTTCTATCGTTCCTTTCAGAGAAAGCTTGACAGGCTGAGTTGAGACCAAAGAAGCACCAATTATATGTCATTTTCTTTTCTTCTCTAACTTCAGTGTCATACTTTATTATTATTTTTACTTAGGGCAGTCCAAAAGTAATGGCGGAGGTTCGGTAATTCCTTATAAAAAGCTTTAAGAAAATTTCTTTCTATATAGTTTGATAGAGAAAAGAGTGCTCTATTTTTCTATGCTATTTGATCATGCTTTCACTAATATCATAATAATAAAATTTCGATAAGATCTGTTTTGTTCGCATGTATCACGGTTTCATGAATATTAGTGAGTATTTTTTGAATAACTTTCGATAGAAACAAGATAGAGAAATGCGATTTTCACCGTTGGAAAGAAGAGATGAAGGTCCATCGAATCGTGTATTACAGATTTTTTTAATATTGATTTCTAAAGTATTTTTACTCAATTTTCTAACTGTAGGAAAAATGTTTTTTTTTTAATGAAAAAAGAAAAAAAACCAAGGGGGAACTACGAGTTTTGAGTTTGTGATCTAAAATGAGTTTGTGTGATTTAAAACAATGCAAATCATTTTCTCTCGTAGATAAAAAGTAGGATTTATTACTATTTTTTATCTTTTGTACAACAAAATAATTGAATTCTACAGGATTTGTATCTACTGTACTCAGCCTGTTTTCTATACTGGAAAGATGTCATTGATTACCTCATGCCTGAAAAATTGAGTTCGAATAGAAAAAAAGATAGCAATATATTTGAAAATAAATTGGCTTTATTTGTTGCGAATATTTAATATTATACCATGTTTATCTATAGATATGTTGTAATCTTTCTCCTTCTGCATATTGTTTAACCAAATACATTCACTGGAAGTGTATAAGTATTAGCATGGATGAATTCAAGCATAGTGAATAATGTAACAGCGCAATTCTATCTGATAAAGAAATAAAATATATGTTATAGCCAAGAGCAACACGAGCGGTTGAGAAGGGGCTTCCTTCTACTTTGAGAAGTTTTGATTACAACTTTTTTCCAATTTGAAGATAGTATGTATTGGACTACCTTTTATTTTCGTGAACAGTCTTGATTCATTGTCTTTTTTTTTTAGGAAAGTCATAGTCAATTCATTTTTCTGTAGTTCAGAAATTTTGACTTCACAAGTCTCTTGTTTTCATATCGACGATTGGAGTTCCTCTTTCTCGCAGTTGTAAGGGCTTGTGGCCATTCTAGTAAACCTCGAAAGAGTTCGATCATAATTTTCTTGAATTTGTAACTATTTCAACTACTACAACTATCTTTTCAATGAGGTAGCAAAAGAAATTATTGAAAGTTAGTCGTTATATGTGTTAAATCGAAAATTCTTCAGAAAACTTTGAATTTTTTTGACAACATAGTTCCTTAGTGTTTACTTAAATTCTAAAACAGTGAAGCGCAACTTAATTGCTTTTATTGATGATCAAAAATGGCAAAAAGGTTAAAAAAATGTTTACTCGAAGGCACAGTCGACTTTGTGACTTAAACCTCGAATATCCTAAAAATTTCGAAGTACCTTAACAGTGAACTAACGATTCTGATTATAATTAAAATTGATTAGCAATGGTCATAAGCCCTCGTCGCCTTCGGTGGCAAAAAGAGATCAAAACAAGATTTTATGAACTGAAATGGAAATAATTTCTAACAAGAAGAAACAGCGATTTATGCATTTATCAGAGTTAGGGTGAGTTTGACAAAATGAAAAGTCGTCGAACATAGGTAGAAATTATTCAAAATAACAAAGAATCGGAAATAGCCACTTGCANTTAATTTCAATGTAAATCTTTTTTTAGTGTGTTGATATGGTTCGTTGTATTTGTTTACGACATGATGATCATAATATTGTATCAAGTTCATTGGAAACACTTGAAATTATACTTAAATATCGAAATTTATTTGATTTTGATCAATCATTAATTTCAATGTAAATTGGATCTATAGAAAAAACTTGTGTTCGTGGAGCCTTAAAAACAGGTAAATATTGAGAAAAAAAAAAGAATTTTCTCTTATTTTTTCTTTTCTAAAACAATAGCTTATTCTAGTAAATAAAATGAATGATGAATTTGATTCAACATCAATGATTAATAATGAAAAACGAACATCAGCTGCTAAACTTGTGAATCAATTATATTTTTTTCCGATTAGATATATCCTCAATATCAATGATACAATAAAAAGTGATGATGAATCACGGATTAGTATGAAATATGCTACATTACCATGTTTATCGTATTTATCAACAATTCCATACATTTGGTTATCTTTACTGAAAGTATGTTGAATGTTTGTTAGAAACTTCTTTTTGTAAAGTTTCACTTCAGTAAAATAGATTTATTTTGTAATTCAAAATTATTTCTAATGTTGTAACAGTAGAAGGGCTTATGTGAATGGGATCAATCTGGTAAAGAAGCTTGTGGCAGAGTTTAGTTGATGTCACTTTAATTGGTTAAAGTCTCAAAGTTTTACTGATAGATGTGACAATTTTATAGTGAAATTGTTTAAACAAAACGACACGGGACACATTAGAATCTGAAAATTCAAGAATGAAGATTTCTCGATATTGATTCCGCAGTTCTAGTCCTATTCTTACTTTTAATTTTTTTTGAAACCAATAAAAGACTAGAACGTTATCAGAGTCGAAAAGATATCAAGTAGAACACTTTATTGAATAGGTTAGACATACAAAAGTTTTGAACTCCACAGGCTGCATCTATATATCTATACGTCAGAGATTGAATTTATAGAACCATACAATTACATCAGAAAAAGTTCTAAGCCAAAGTATGAGTTCTGTGCATATTTAGTACGAAAGAGATGTTCGTTTTTTTCATTATGATATGATACCAATTGCATCCTCTAAGGAATTTTTCTTTAGTCTTTGAACGTTTCTGATTAAATATAATTTTGTAAGGGATATGAAATTGCTTAATGAGAAAAATGAAATTCCAATTTCTATGTTACTTGTAATATATTAAAATCTATCAATCACCTATATGTCTTTTTTGCTTTTGTTTAAGGTATTACATCTTTTATCTGTACGTGAACATGGTGATCCACATTTACGTNTTACATGGTTATTCAAATTTATTTGATTTCAATGAATTATTAATTTCAATTTAAATTGGATCTATAGAAAAAACTTGTGTTAGTGAAGCCCTAAAAACAGGTAAATATTGAGAAAAAAAAACAAGAATTTTCTTTTCTTTTTTCTTTTCTAAAACAATAGCTTATTCTGGTAAATAAAATGAATGATGAATTCGATTCAACATCCATGATTAATAATGAGAAACGAACATGAGATGCTAAACTTGTTAATCAATAATATTTTTTTCCGATTAGATATATCCTCAATATGGATGGTACAATAAAAAGTGACGATGAATCACGTATTAGTATGAAATAAGCTACACTACCATGTTTATCGTATTTATCAACAATTTTATACATTTGGTTATCTTTACTGAAAGTATGTTGAATGTTGGTTAAAAGCTTCTTTTTGTAAAGTTTCATTTCAGTAAAATAGATTTATTTTGTAACAGTAGAAGGGCTTAGGTGAATGGGATCAATCTGGTAAAGAAGTTTGTGGCAGAGTTTAGTTGATGTCACTTTAATTGGTTAAAGTCTCAAAGTTTTAGTTATAGATATGACAATTTCACTATTAAATTGTTGAAACAAAACGACATGGAACACATTAGAATCTGAAAATTCAAGAATGAAGATTTCTTGATATTGATTCCGCAGTTCTAGTCCTATTTCTACTTTTAATTTTTTTTGAAACCAATAAAAGACTAGAACATTGTCATATTCGAAAAGATATCAAGTAGAACACTATTGAATAGGTTAGATATACAAAAGTTTTGAACTCCACAGGCTGCCCTGATACATCTATACGTCAGAGATTGAAATAATAGAAACATACAATTACATCAGAAAAAGTTCTAAGCCGAAGTACGAGTTCTGTGCATATTTAGTACGAAAGAGATGTTCGTTTTTTTCATTATGATATGATACCAATTGCATCCTCTAAGGAATTTTTCTTTAGTCTTTGAACGTTTCTGATTAGATATAGTTTTGTAAGGGATATGAAATTGCTTAATGAGAAAAATGAAATTCCAATTTCTATGTTACTTGTAATATATTAAAATCTATCAATCACCTATATGTCTTTTTTGCTTTTATTTAAGAGCCATTCTCTGTAAGAATCACGGACTTTGGGAAGTGACACCCCTTAGAACTGCCTGAAAATTTCAGGGTATAGAGAACAAGTTGTCCTGATTCCAAAAATATAATTTTTTTTAAGGACTCATAAGGTAAAAAAAAAGTTATGGCTGCCTGAAATGGGTAAAAATCGATTTTTTTTAAATTGGCAAAAAAATTTTTTGATATACCAAAAATGTAGAGCTCGTCGAGCTGATCATTTTTTACATTGGCGATATCTACCTAAAACTTAAGCTTCGGTGGCTAATTAGTCTCTAAAGTAGACAAATATTGAGAATTTCGCTTGTTTTCCCCATGAAATCTCCTATTTCACCATTAAACCTTAACACAAATGCCACTTATAATACACAGATTTAATCGTCTAACTGCCAGCTACACGCTCATCTGTTCACTGACTCTTTAAACCTCTCCCTTCGATAGCTATACCGCAAAGAACATCGAAAAAGTGGAAAAAAAGGCACAATCCTACACTTGTTTCGGATTTTTCCTAAAAAAGTATCAAACCAATGACTTTCAATCTAACAGAATCTTGTTCAGAATAGTCAACTCTATTGGAAAATGTGATTTAGCAATTAAAAAAAAAACTTCTAAAAGAAATTTTTTTTAATATGAATTAGTCCTGATATCCAAACATATCACTCAAAAATTTTGTAAGCCGTCGCAATAATTTTCCCAAAAGTGGAATGAAAAACCATGTATCACAGATTGTAGGGCGTCATTTCTACTATTAGGATCTGTGTTTAGTTTCGTTTGCACTTTTACTTTATAAGGAAAACTTTTGACATCATTGTATAAAAGTGGTAGAAAAGTACACAATTGAGCAAGTAATTCCCCTTTTGCGTAGTCAATAAAGATAATCAGCTCAAAATTGATCGTAGATTCCGAATCTACGTCGAAATCTACGTATAGAGAGTTAGTCTCGCATTTACCTATGCGTACAATAGTCTAGCAATCGATATACGAAAGTGCTATACATAAGAATATATTGATTTATATCAAAGGATGAGTCACCGTTTCACTAGTTTTCATTACAAGAGATTTGTTTCAGATTTTATTTGTAAATTAATCAGGGCAACTCGTTGAGTCTTTCCGGCGAGTCAACACATTGAAATTTAACTTTTCAATTTTTTATGCCTGGGGTACCCCCAGGGATCGAAAAAAATTTGTTGACTTGAATTCTAATTTTGTACATATGTTCCGATAGAACTCGTTACGCTGATCGAGAATATCGTATTTTTATCAATACTTGATTGACTAATAAGAAAGTTATCAAGTACTTTTCCTCTTCAGATCCTATACGATTTTAGCTAGGAAATAATGTTTTTGGACCCATATGTACTTCAAAAGTTTTATGTGGGATGCTGAAATGACCCCAGTATAAGTCAATTTTTTGTCCTCTATCCGGATCTTTAAGAGTTTTCAAGAATATCATGTGCATTCTTTTAATAATAGCAGGGTCCAAGGTACAATCTTCAGATGTACGTAACATTTTATCAAAAGTTCATATAGCGTAGTTTCATAAAGGAGCTTCCATCCACTTCGAAACTTAAACTGAATGCATAATTTTATCAGTTCTTTCTAACGCACATACTTTTATGAGGAAAAAGAGTGAACCAGATATCTCACGAGCATCA